ACTTAATTTTGATAAAATAACCCCTGGGACTGGTAATTTATTCAGTCTGGAAAGCATCCTCTCCCATTTCCTTTAAAAGCTAGTGAAGAATCCTTTTTAGATTTGTCAAGCCCAAGAAATTATAGATCCATGGATGGGTATTAAGGAAAGACTATAATTTGAAAAGATTTATCTTGTTGCATTCAGATGAATGTTTTGAAAACAGTCTTCCAGAACATCTGAGATAATAAAACATGTTTAAGGCTTGGTGTTCTACAAAGTATTTCAAGAAAAGTACTTTTTCTTAGACTAATTGAGAATGTAACTTCATTTTCACAGGGTTTATATCAACACAAAACCCCAAAGCTTTTATGAACACTGGACATTACTCCAGAGTTTCACACAGAGGAGCATATGTGAAAGCCAGGATGCTTTGCGTGTGGTTTTTGGTTAGGTTGTAGAGGTAACTCACATGTGGAATTACCACGTTGATTTCATTATGTCAGACCTCAGTCTAGCAGGGATTAATGAAGCTGTTTAGTTTCCTTCATCTCTGTTGAATATGCTGGGACTTGGTGGACCGGTCAACAGCAACATTTGTGGTGTATCCTCAGAATTATAGAGGTTGTATATGAATATAGCAATAGATGGGGAGAACATTTAGACTAGGAATAAGTGGAGAATCTAAATGAAAAGCATAAAAACTAAGGGGGAGAAACTGAAGTAAAAAAAATCAAAATAAATCCTTTTTACAGGAGAAATAAAAAATGATTGAGAAAGTTAATTGGTTTCAATTTCTTGAGGTAGGTGTATGAAAAATAAAAAAAAATTGCAAGGAGACTTAACTTTTCATCAATCAATATCATCATACCAAACCTGTGTATTCCCATTTGTCAATGTCTCTTTCCTTTCACCCCAGTCTAAAGACTGTGAAAAACTCTACAGAACCTTCTATCGTAAAGTTAAATTCAAAGTTCTTTCAGGTAGTAATTCCCTTTTAATGCATGAGTTTCCATTGATCAGAACAATGTAGTCTTGATTTTTGATTGGAATCTGTGATAGAAATAACTGAATAACGAAGGCTTTTCTCTCTAGTGAATTGGTACCTCACCCAAAATCATCATCACTAGTTCCAAGGAGAGCTGATGCACGAGCCTTGTATCCCCTCATAGTGTTATTACTGACAATTTTGCATAGGCAGGGTACCCACTGAAAGGTCGGTGATGTTAACAGTATGTTTGCGTGTGACGCTTTGAGCATCACAGTTTTGTCCTTATCAATTTTACAAGTGTTTTGTTTAGTTTTAAGTCATGGAAACAATCTTTAAGTTACACAACTGGGTAATGAAATAGATTTTCCATAGTAACAATAAGCTAAGATATTTAACTTAAATCAAATCAGGCCTGACTTAAAAAAAAAAACCACATGGATGCCCAGGCATGAGTCAGGGACTCATTTCTGGGCTAAGACAGTGAGAAAAATGAAGGAAATTTTTGTAATGTTGAATACTGCTTATGGTAACTGTCCTGGGCAATGCTATTTTGTGTCACATTCTTAAGATATATTGGTAAAATTCTGCAGTTTTACACAATGTAATAGAGTAATATCATAGAATAATTTCTTCACTGATATATCTTAGCAAGGAATATATTTTCAAGCCTTTACTCCCTAACAGAAAATTTTCTTTAATGAAGCTCTGTGGAGCTAGAAGATACCATACCGAATACCAGCTTTGAAAATTTAGTAAATATTATTAACTGGAGCTTGCAACTGAACTCTCCAGTCTTCTTTTACATTCAGTTCCACAGAGCTGTCTTTATTAAAACAAATTTTATTGTCAGTTTTTCATTCACCCCTCGATGCCAAACTCTTGACAAGACCCAAGGAGTGTAAGCCTGTCCTATCCTGAAATATCAATGTTGACTCATCCAACTCATGAAGGCCATGACTCTGAAATGAACTGTTGCTTTGTATATTGGTGTCCAAAACTAATTTCACTGATGATCAAAAAAGAAGATAAGAGACAGAATGGAAAAAAGGCACAGTCAGCTGCCCAAAAATATAATGACAAGAGCAAACAAGACTTTCTGCAGATCTTGAAGAAGAATCTTCTTTCTTCTCTGTGTCATTGAAGTGCTCCTTCAAATATTATAATGCTAACAGAGATCATTTATACACAGCTCTCGTTGCCGGGGTTGTTTGCTGGCTTTTATGTAGTCATGCTGGGGATTTATGGACCATATCAGAGAATCACAGAATATCAGGAGTTGGAAGGAACCTCAAAAGCTCACCCAGTCCAACCCCTGCCAGAGCAGGATCACCAGACCAGGTCACACAGGAACGTGTCCAGGCGGGTTTTGAATGTCTGCAGAGAAGGAGGCTCCACAACCTCTCTGGGCAGCCTGGTCCAGTGCTCTGTCACCCTCACAGTAAAAAAGTTTTTCCTCATGTTCAGGATCCCATAGATCCCACTGGGACAGACTCAGCACTGTGTAAGCACTGGAACTTTAATGGATCACTTCACCTAAAGCTGTACCTGTACCTTTTTACTCTGAGTATTTTCCTCCTCCTTTAAACTACATAGAATTTCTACAGTTATATTCTTTCTTCATGCTTCCGCTATAAGCATAGTACTAAGAATAGTAATGTGTTTCTTTTTCTTTATGATATATCTATATTTATTTGTTCCTGTCTCTTAAAGTAGAGATTAATTTGCATTTGGAAAACTTTGTTTCGCTACCACATTTTATATATTTTCCTTTAGACATGTCTACATGCTTCATTATTTTCCTATAATATGGATAGGATGTTAAGTCATGAAATGAGATATTCTCTTAAGAATGAACCTTTGTATTCACACATTGTCAGTGTTTCTGTCTTAACAGTGACAGCCAAGCACTTCCCTGCAAGTCTGGTTTTATGAAAGATGATATTTTGATTTTAAAAAGTAATTGAGAAATTGATACACTCAAGTGGTTACACACCTTGACTTTACTGTATCATGTTGCTTGAAAAATGTATCTTATTGTCATAAACCATTAGGTTGGCTGGAGAAATTGATGCTTCATTAATTTTTTACAGAATATTCTAGTCAACACTTTCACATCCTGTAGCTCTTAAATAAAAATCAGACTTCTGAGAAGATATGAAAAGCATCAGCTCACGAAAAAATTGTAAGCTTTCCACAGTAATAAACAGGATAAAATACCAGTGTAATACTGACTGAATGCAGACCTTTTTTAAATCAGTAGAGAAGTAAGTGAAATTACCCACAGAATTCATTTGGTTCTGTAGTACATGGGATTATTTATCTGATAGCCAAGGCTGTGCTACTTTAATCTCAGGTCTCTCTTTTTTTTAAGTTTCTATAGACAGCAGAAAAGATCTAATTATTTGGAGAGAATTCATGATTCAATAGAAAGTGATTTTTCTGTTCTAGTGAATGCAGGGTGAGTCTCATACAAATTGTGAATGCACTTTCCTAAAACTATGTTGGTAAGATCTCCATAGTTGTTATACTTTGCTCTTGCTCTTTGATCTCTCTCAGATAGGTCGTGTGAGGAAAATATCTGTGATTATCACTGTATAGGACATTGTTCAAACATATCCCATCAACCCATCAGCTCTGTACCGGAAATATAAATTTTGCTACAAAATGGATACCTACCCAACAACAGCCATAAAAAGCTGTTGAGAACTAGCACTACACCAAGGTTTGTGGCAGAGCAGTGAACCAGCACTGCAAGTGTTGGATTTGGTTTTAACACACTTTATTTACTCCTACAACTGCTATAGTATTCCTAGAGAAGATGAAGTAAACTTGAGTTTTGAGCCAGCACAATGTCTACCCGTTTAAACACATCCTTATTGACATCAGGAAAAAAGCAAGCATGTTAATATGGGGCTCAACAATAAAGCAGATTTTTTTCATTTTCTTTATTGGAAAGTGTTTCTGGTATTTAGATACATGCAATACATTCCAATAGGATTAACTATTCTGTCGACTTTATAAAATATTTATTTCACATTTTAAAAATTCAGAGGAAAGAAAAGGAATAAGAACCAGAATTAAAAGGCTTCCTTTAAATTTTTGCTAGACCTACAGACCACTGCTTTTAAAATATTTCCTGCCCTGTAATAACCAGACACCTGCCCTCCTTTGAACATAGCTGCTATTGGAGATAGTAAGAAAACAGATAATTTCCTTTTTAAGCCCTTTTTCATAATTCTTACGAAGTTTTATGATCAAGTCAGTAGGTATTAAGAAAATTTTGAGGATACCTTTTCATCAAGGCAAGATTATATGTGAGTAATATACTGCAAAAAAAAATTATCCCATTTGTTTTAAGGGGGTTTTTTAAAGGACGCAAACAGGACAGCGCTTGCATTGCTGTCTATTGTGTCCAACATCACAGGCATTAGTCCTCGCACTTCTAAAAATGCTTCTACTCTAATCTCTTTCTGGAGTAATATTTTCATAGATCACAGAAAATGTAAAATTAAGAGAGTGATGTTTAAATTATTAGCAAAAAAAGTTTCTCCAGAAGAATGGTACAAATATTAGCTATAGTGAAAGATCAGCTTCTCTGAGTTTTGGCTTAATGTATTGAAATAAATCCTTGTGTTCTGAGAAGTGGATCTCCAGCCTTTGTAGTAATTACGAGAGAAGACTATCATACCAAAGCATATTGAAAGCATTAGAAAAGAATCTTTAAACAGAAGGTAATTTCCTACTCATCATTAATTAATCAAGAATTCAGCATTAAAAAAAAGATTCTAATATGTAACAATGATGTAAGGATGAGAAGTGGGATTAGGATTTATATAGACACACATGGGTACATTCATATAACACATATACACACAAACATGTCTCTCATATAAATGTCCTTTCTCTTCATTTTCCACTTACCATATGGCCAGGACAATTAGATATTATACGTGGGTATAAAGGAGCAATATAATATACTGCCATGCACAGAAAATTATCCAAAGGGCATAATTTGGACTGCAATGCATAATGTCTAGCAATAGTGAAGAACAACTTGAACAAATCTAAACCCCATTTAGTTCATGATCTAGAATTCATTTCTGAATTTTTTCCACCTTGGGCAAATGGTTCAAACTTTTATAGGAAAGAAACTTCCAGAAGGTGAATAATAGAAAAAAATTTTCATATCCTGTGTGTGTTTCGTTGCAGTTGGGACGGACTCTACGGAGTCCTTTCATGAAGTTTGTGGCACATGCAGTTTCTTTCACAATCTTCCTTGGACTGTTAGTAGTGAATGCTTCAGATCGATTTGAAGGAGTAAAAAATCTCCCCAATGAGACCATCACAGACCATCCAAAACAAATATTTAGAGTCAAAACAACTCAGTTCTCATGGACCGAATTGCTGATCATGAAGTGGGTATTGGGTAAGCAAAACCACATTTTCATTTCTGAGATGTAGTAATGAAAACTGCTGATGTAAGAGTTGGATGTTATGAAGTTTCTAGTCTGAAAATGTTACTTGTGAGAGGACAGCACAGCACCTAAATGTTTTAAAAGAAATTAAGTTATCCAACAACTATAAAGCAGGGATTCATGTGGATGAACCCTTCAAGTGCAAAAGTATGTCATGTGCACAAGTTAAACTTGCAGGGAGGCAAATTCAGATGTATTAATTTTCATACAGGCACTATTTATTCCTGGCAGGTCAGCTAACTTGAACCACTGATCCAAACAAGCTCAGAAGAATTTATTGGGAAATAAGGCTTATCAGCTCTGCGGAATCTTTGTCTAACTCTTCTGTATCTATTTTCACTCATAACCATGATTTTGATTCTTTTCTTGCAGCAATAATTCCATGGTTCCATAAATACTGGTGGCATTAAATCCCCCTGAAAAATAGGATAGGGCTGCTTTATCTGATGACTTCCTGACCACCATTTCTTTGTTCCATGTCCCCACAATAATCAGAATCCCACACAGGATATTAGGCTAGAAAAAAACCGAATAGATGCCAGACTGGATAGAGTAAGTCTGTAAGATATATTTTTAAAATGATATTAAAGTCCTTGGACAAGATGATTAGATTTTAGACTAGGTATGCTTTTCTTATGGGCAGTAGGTATCTGTCTGCCTGGTGAGTTCCTAAGAGAAGAAGAAGAAAACACTTCATTTAAAGTGAAGGTTTTCACTTTTCTGGAAGAAGAAAGGTGATTCATTGTACGGAATTCTGAATATAATGAGATTTTTTAATGACTGCCTACATCAGCACTGACAGTCTTCTCTGGCCATTTTACCTGTCTGCCTACATAAAGCTTCGAATAATATTTCAGCAATACTAAGGTGAAAGTCTGGTGCACATGGCCTGCATACAGCTGGCACGGGGGCTTGGGCACTTGCTGAGCCCCAGATGTGACCCTGAACTTTAAGGACTTTAAAAGCACTAAGGGTGGCAGACTGCCCAGCCTTTTGGCACAAAAACCTTATAGGTATTGTAAATATGTATATCTAAGTAGAAATATAATTAAATAAAAGTATATGTTATAGATAAATATCACAGGTAAAGTTGCCAAGATAAACTTTTCCAAAGAGGCAAAAGCAGACAGTAAGAATGTGTTGAGATTTAATAAATCTAATTATTGTGTACTAAATATACACAGCTATATTTAATCCTACTTGGCAACACCTGCAGTTGCTCACTTCAGACTCAACAGTGTAGGTGTGCTACCTACATTTCAACTTGTAGTACAATCAAAAAGTGTAATTTTATTCATTCTTAGCTTGTAAATCCTTTCCTTCTGTTTCTGTTCTTTCTCTTTTCTGCTTCATACTGTGGCAGCAATGATGAATGCTGATGACACATTACTTGTTCCAACCACAGCAGACCATTTTTTAGTAATTAGTTTACAGGTCCCTGATCTTGGTTCTTTTTTGGGGGAGAAAATGGGCTGTCTGAGTTATCTGACTGTCAGCCATGAAATTATAATGCATGTTCAGAATTCAAGGATAATGGGCTACATTAGCATAGCATAATGTGGCCATGAGCAAGCACAACCTGTGATAGCACTCCCCACAATTAATATTTCTGGAGATATTAAAATTGGCCCATGTGTATATATTTTAAGAGAAAACAACCAGTGGGACAATTTCAGACTGGAGTTATGCAAAAAGATACCATTGCCATCTTCTGCTCCCAATTATTTCTAATGCAGGTGAGCAATGGAGTAAACTGAGCAGAGGCAATGACTTTCAGCCAGGCAGACACTTCATCCTGCTCCAAAAATCCGTATCAGAGGCTCTACTTCCCATAAACCCACACCTCTGAAATAGCTGCAGAGCATCGTTGGATCATCCAGGTAGAGTTGGTAACATCCTCAAGAACAACCAGATAGCATTTAACGTGGGAGAGCACCTTTTTGGTCTCACTCTTCTTTGTTACGAATGAGCATCCCAGGGCTGTAAGTGCAGTGAAATACTGCAATGCTCTGAAAAGAGAACTTGCCCCTTCACACATGGGGCATGGCAATTTCAGCTCATTTTATGCCTTGGCCGCCTCTCGCCCTGCTGCCAGGTCTTCCCATGTCTTGCCTTCAAGCAAGGAAGGCTGAGATTTTCTTCATGAGCAATATGGACAAAATTGCATACTTGAAGAAGGGAGATTTTGTTTAGAAAGACAAAATCCCCACTGCAAAAGCAGCTGAGGTAGCAGTTAAGCTCTGGGTAGATGCAATCTGAGCAAAACCCTCTCTCTTAATCCAAGAGCCTTTGGTGGATCCAGGAAGGCTCAAAGGCAGCTCTGAAACATCAGCTGCTGGTGATTTATGCACCAGGCCAGTGGATATAAAAAGCTGACAAAGTATTCATTTTTGTGCACAGGTGGTTAATAGCACTTCTTGCACACTTCCATTCTTCTTCCAAATGGGCTGTGCCTGTAGCTTGGCTCTCCATCCCCAGCTGAATCCAGAAATACCTCTCAAGATGAAGCTTCTGATTATCTCTGCTGTGGGAGACTAGGCACAAGAAGCCTGCAGAAGCTGCTCGTATCCCACCGCTCTGTATATCAAGCTCAGGGAAAGGACCACTCCAAGAGCCATTGGGGGTCTCAGAAGCACCATATTGAAGTTCAATTCCATCCCAGCAAATCTGCTCTACTCTAGTTGCCTTCCCTTATTTCTATTTTTACATCCCATCTTACATCCCATTCCCTGCATTTTAGCTGCGTTTTCTCTTCTTAGTATTTTTACTTAAGGAGAAGCTTTGAATTAGTCTCTCACAATGTATACACAATTAGTCAGCAGTCCTGACTGAATAATTACTGTAACTTTTCTACTTGTCCTGAATAGTCATTTTTCCATATGTACGGATAAAAAAATGACTGCCACACAGTTGGCAAAAATAATTATGTAAATTAGAGGCCAATAGTGTGATACTTTCACAGAGTGATTCTAATTTTCGTCAGCCTACTCTATTTTAGATATTCCTTTCTTCATTAATCTGTGACTTAGGTATATGAAGTGACCAAGATTAGAAATAAATTTGGATGGAAGAGTTAATATTTAAACCAGAAAAGACATTTTCGGGTGTCAGTGAACAAGTACTCTGGTCAGCAATGTTACCACACTTGTGACATTTCCTGAAGTGCTTTAGTACCTTTACATGACATGCATGCGCAATGTCTCTTATCTATCACTTCTAGGACACTTTTTTTCTTAGCTAGAAATGTTTCTTTAATAATTCATCCCCACTCGAGGACAGTTCGTGAGAAACCAATTCTTCCACCTTCTCCCTTAGGCTATTTATTATTAAATCCTATTCATGGTGAATGACAGCTTGGGATGAAGTTCCTGCTTTTACTCAGTCAAGTCCCTCCAGACTCAATGAGAAGAGCTGGGAGGTCTTCTCCTACCCTCACTCTGACTCTGCTCAGCCCTCAGTAGACCTCAGACTCTCTCCTAAGACAGATCAATATGGGGCATAACCTATATCTTGGTATGGATCAAAGGATCTACCTGGAGATTCCAGAGCTATGGAGTTCACAGGCTAGCGGTGCCTTGGCCATGGGTGGCATCAGTAGCTTAGCTTTCCTTTTTCTCTCAAATACTTCCCTGTGCTCAAGGACTGACAGCAGCAGTTTTTCATTCCTCCAGCCTCCGGCTAGGTTCACACTGACTTGTTTCCTTCCCTATAACCCAGCTTTCCACTGTGCCTCGTGGGATACCATGTGCTTCCAGGAGTCTCTGAAGTAGCTGAGCAAATGCATTGACGTGCCACGCCATAAGGTCTTCCAGCAAAAAGGATGAAGAAGAGTTCACAAAAAGGACAAGGTTGCAGGAGGCCACATGGAAATTGGCAGGCACTGCTTCTGCTTGATTAAACATTAATTTTACTGCTACTATGGAAACAGGATTGGGTAGAGCACAGGAAATATTTATTAGTGGGTTAAATATTCCATTATTTTAGCTATTCAGAAGCAAAATTTTGGGCCTAGAGCCCTGCTGTGACTGAAAGTTGCACAAGTTGGTGAATTTGCCTATTGAATTCACGTAGACTCCCCAGAAGTCCCACGTAGAACATGGATGTCAAAGCTTTTGAATTTTCTAGGTTTGGCATTTAGGTTTATCTCTAAGTCTATCGTCAGAAAGATCTTAAATTCAGACTAAACAGGGTTTTCAAAGCAGTATGTCAGACTTTAATATATGGAAATTCATTGTTATTGAATATATAAAACCGTATGAAAAGTGCTGCAAAGGCAGAACTTCTGTCCTACCTTTTCTCTGATCATACTGGATTTACTCCAGGATCAGATTTTCTCTCAAAGAGATCTTTTTCCATTGTCAAAACAGACCCACCCACTATTTTTGGGAAGGAGGAAGACATCAGCAGAAGAAGTGAAACCATCTTCATTGCACAGTTTAGCAAGGAGATTTTGAGAACAAGAGATGGAATCTACACTTTTTCCAAATAGCTCAGGAAAAAGTAGGACGTAGGATTTTCCAACGTCTTCAGTATTTCTGAACCATGCTTTATCTCACATCATCAGCAATCTACGTCACCATTGATTCATACAGTGGAATTTTGAACTTTCTACCTCATATGTACAAAAGGACATATAATCTTAAAGTTTTTAATAATTTTAAAGAAAAGATGACATAAACATTTCTCTAGAAATTCAGTTTAGCTGAAGAGTTATTTATTTTGGTCTTAGAAGCTAATCTTAGCCAGGAAATGGGTCTATCTGAATTTAAAAGGCACCCTCTGTGCTTGCTGGCTTAACATGCTCTGGCCTCTCCACAGGCATGATATGGTCAGAGTGCAAGGAGATCTGGGAAGAGGGTCCACGCGAATATGTGGTGCATCTCTGGAACCTGCTGGACTTTGGGATGCTGTCCATCTTCGTGGCATCATTCACCGCGAGGTTCATGGCTTTTCTCAAAGCAACTGAAGCACAACAGTACGTAGATCAGTACGTTCAAGATGATGACCTCAATAATGTCACCCTTCCCCCTGAAGTTGCTTACTTTACTTATGGTAAGATGCTTTTTTGCTATCTAATGCTTCCTATTCTTTTTGGCTAATACGTAGCAGTGCTGAAAGCAGCTGTCTTTTTTTTGTTGTTTTTCTGTAGGTTTGGTTTATTTTAACTAAGCCAAATCATTCTCAGATCTACCCATTCCAGCCATCTTCCAAAACAATCAGAAAGGAATTGAGATCTGAGCCTCATTCAGTCTCTGATCTTGTGCTGAGGCTACATTCAGGTCAATCACATTCTGACAAAATAGCTTGAGCAACAAATAATCAGGAACTGGAGTGAGCAGAATATAATTTAAATTACAGCTAAATGAACCTGCTTGGTTTTCCAAATGTGAGAAGGGTGAGATATGTGAACAGACATAGGATCTGGAGCTGCGTTTCTAACTGTTGGTGCACTCTGCACCTCTTACACTAAACACCTGTCTAATGGAAATGAAAACGCCAATTACACCCATAAGCAGCTGCTTTTCCAAGAAAAACTTTATTTTTGGAGAGCCTATACCATCTGTAAGTACTAAAATTTGGAAATACCAGCAGTAGAATAGCTTTGACAACATTATTTTTGATGGCTGAAATGGTTTTTCTTTGCTATTCACAAATGAATAGAGCTTTGCACCCCAGCGTGGGGACTGGATTCATTGCATGCCTCTGCAAGCTTTAGATGTAACCCTCAGCAAAATCAATGGGGATTTTTGCTCACAGAGGGACTGCAAGAGCTAAAGAGTTGGGCACAAAGGAGTGCCATTTGCTCCTTAGGGTTGCAAGGTAGTTATTCTAGCAATACGCTTGGGCTGGAGAGGAAGATCTGGGGCAGTAGACTTCATCCACTGTAGATATACACCACATGGCACCAGTGACACGTACCCTGACCCCACACTAGTGTGCACAGCCACAGGCTCACTGAGCTGATCACACTGGCTCAGCGTCTTCCTTTGTGTGTCCCCTCTGAAGGTAACCTTCCCTCTCCCTGCCCAGGCAAGCAAGAGGCCTCTGAGATGATGTTGTGGTTTTCCTCTCTCTGGTTTTCCACTGACCCATTTTAAGTGAGTTCATGATACAAAGTGCAAATGGTCTGGAACAGAATGTCACAAGCAGATCCTGTGAATTCTTCCATCTGCTGCTTTTCCTTTGGTTCATATTACTGCAAATAATGCCTAAGTTTACTGCTATGTCCTTAACAATGTCACATGTTTTAGCTTGGAGTCACAATCTTTTCATCGAGAAGCTCAGTTGATGCAAGGACACTTATAAATGATATCAATACAAATGTTCAAAATTTCAGTAGATTAAATAAATAGCTGGTATCAACATGAAACTTTTTGAAGCAAAAACATTAGAGTAACTCGACTGTAAGAATTGGTTTTAATTTAAAGATAACATGAAGATTATACACTTGATAGTTATATCTGCTTTATCCAAATAAGTCCTAACTTTCTTATCTAATAGGGGATATTAGGTAGCGATAGAGATCTCAGTCTCCCTCATGCTTTCTTTCCAAATACTGACACATCCAAATCTATAGCCAAACTCTACTGCATTGTTGTTTTGGTTCTCCACCTCAAAGGCTTCCAGTGGAAAAAGCACAGCAAGGTTGATATTCGGCTAGGAAACAGAAAATATCAAATTTGTTTAAAGCCGTGCTACTTATTTGCTGTGTGACTTTGGTAAATCCCATTGACTTGCTCATTTCTTATCTTTACCATGTGAAAAAGACTGCTAATTCTTCTGACCCATATGTGTACAGCACACTAAGGACTTCAGTGACCAGTTGTTCCAAACCTTATTTTTTTTATTTAACTCCTGGCCAAAACCAATATTCAGCCTTGAAAAGGGGCCATTTATCATTATAACTTCAATTTAACACTTTTTGTTACTAACACCTAATGTACATGTATTGTTTTAGCCAGGAACAAGTGGCTTCCCTCGGATCCTCAGATCATTTCAGAAGGACTGTATGCAATAGCTGTGGTACTCAGCTTCTCCCGCATTGCTTACATTCTTCCAGCCAACGAAAGCTTCGGCCCCCTGCAGATCTCTCTGGGGAGGACTGTGAAGGATATCTTCAAGTTCATGGTCATCTTCATCATGGTGTTCCTGGCCTTCATGATTGGAATGTTCAACCTTTATTCTTACTACCTTGGTGCAAAATACAACCCTGCATTTACAACGTGAGTACCTATGGAAAAGCGGCTGGTTTTGCAGGGCTTAATCCATTCTGGTTCATTGCTGCTGCAAAGTCTGCTCAGATAGTTTCTACTCCAGCTGCGTGGTGAAGTCACATCCAGATTTTGTCTGGGAAATTTGTACCACAGCCTCCAGCCCTCCCAAGGCCTGAGTGTAGGGGGACATGTAGTTCAGAAATTGTTATTTCTGGAAATCAAAATGACAGATCAAGAAAATGTTTCATGAGATGCTCAGTTTAATGAGTCAAGAGAAGCAGTGGAGAAGACGTTAGACCTAAGGTTATTGTTCTTAAAACTGGAAGCCAAAATTTATATAAAATAAAGGAGGACTTTGCTTATGTGAGGTCTGTTTTAGGATACCACCTGAGCGCAACTGTGGTTATTAAGTGCTAGTGGAGTCAGCTGATAGTCATGCTGCTCAGAAAAGCAAAATAAACCAGGATGCTTAGGTTGCGAATTTTTTAAATCCTGGCTGGAACTTTTCAGCAGAGGCCATGTGAAAGCTGCACAAAGCATTATGCCTCGTTACTGGCCACGCAGGGCAGTGCGTCTGCTTGGGTCACAACCACCTGCCAGTGCTCACTGGGTGGCCACACAGCCCTTTGGAGGTGGCCATGCTGGATGCCCTGCCTCCACCTTGTGAGGGATGTTGGGAAGAGAAAGAGGTTGGCAAGAGCTTCTGGAATGAGGTTCAGACTGAAGCTGCTTTTGAAAAGGAAAAGCCTACAACCCTTTGGTGGTAGCACAAAATACAGCCTTGATTCTCTGGGACCCTGGGAACCCAAGCCCCATCTCTGAGGGGCACAGGTAAAGTCTTGAAGGAACTTTCAGAAGAGGCAACATCCTGTGTCCTGCTGTGTCTGAGGGACATGTCCCATGCATCCCCAGGAAAGCCTTCTCCCTTGCACTGTCATGTGACACCAGCATAGCACTGTGGCAGTCATATCTGTGTGCTCATAAATCTGCCACAACTTGACTTAGGAACATTGTGGGAACTTTCCTTCCCATACACCCATCTCTGAAGGAAGAGGAAAGTTGGTATAACATTTTCTCCTTTTTGTGATCTGACTTCCCAGCAAACACACCATGCTTCTAATGCCAGAGCCCACAGTGTTTGCCAGATGCAGAGCAGACAGCAGCTGACATTTGATGTGTCATTTCTCTAACATGTCACATGGTGAACTGGGGGCTTGTAGCTCCTCTAGGGGAAATGACCTTTTCAGCATCATTTCTGTCCTGTGAATGGCTGGTTCCTTCCAAATGCACTGGGTACACTTTTAACACAAAATCGTCTTGTGTGACAAGTGCCTTGTAGCATAATGTTTGCTTTCTCTAACTGAGCCACATACGCCTTCTAGACCTCTCCTCAAACCTTGGGATATGTTTTAATGGAAAGATTTATGAGGCCAGACAGAATTACTTTTATCTGTGCTCGGGTAAGGTAGAAGAAAATTGAGTGTATGGGATGTGACTTGCTTCTTATTTGAAGAGAAGAAGATGCCCTTGTAGCACAAGGCTTAATGAGAAGTAGAGTTGATATTGTCATTGACTGCATGGTGGCACAGTGACCCTCACTTATGGTATCCCCCAGACATGTTACTAAAGCACATCACTGACAAATTCCAGTCTCTTATGCAATAACATAGTAACTCTCTCATTAGCACTCATTACCTAAGTGGATCTCCCAGTATTTGCTCTCGTTTGATGGAAATAATGAGCAAATATTAACTAAAATGTTGACTGCTCACTGGAGTAAAGATTGCTTAAATGCCTTAGGGATGTCTGGGTTGGGAGGAGACTTGTCAAAAAGCAGTGTGCTTCCTCCTTAAATTCAGCTGGTGGCTACGTATCCTGGAGAGACTTCATGTTGTTATGAAGCAAATTTTCCATGAGCACAGATTTTCCTTATAAGAATTTGGAAGAGATTTTAAAGGACTCACTTCTGATTATTTAAATACACACCAGTGTCAAATGATGATCAGTGAAAATGAGCCTTTTCATCATATGAAACAGAGAGAATAGATTAACATTCATCCTGAAAATCCTTCTCAGACGTCTCATTCAAAAAGCTAGAAACCCTGAGGTATATAGTCTCAAACAATTTTAATAAGCTAATGACAAGGTTATATGGGCAGATGGGCAGCTACCAGCTCTAGCAACATTTCCTTCTCTATTTGTTGTGAGCTGCCTGTGGGCTTTGCTGAACATGGCAGGCTCCTGCTGCCATTAACTTATTCATGAAAAGAAGGAAAATTTCAGTATTAGAGCTGAATAAGTAACTGAGCTGTTTTGAAAAATTCACTGGGGCAAAGAAAAATACCGATTACTTTGGTGTCTTCGTAACCATTCTGTGACTTCAGTGACTCCGGTGAATGCATTTCCTAGAGGCATCTAATAAGGATGGGTGTAATTTTACAGAAAGTGAGTTTTATACTCAGAAATGTGACTATTTGACTATGGGACCTGATCTCAGAGATCACTTGGCTAGTCATGACAGAAAAAGACCCATTGGATTTGTGTTCTAATTGATTTTAGGCAGTTTCAAAGGGCATTGAGTTGACAGCTCACTGGAGAACCTCAGTGAGAAACCTCCCAGATGAAGAGCTGCTCACTGAAATAACTTTGAGTTACACATTTAAGAAAACCGTAGCTTCTCAGGACAGTATGTAGGCAGAAAAAAAAGAGTATACATTTGTCCAGATATCACTCAGAGGGAATTCTTGCTTAGTTCTAGTGGCAATAATCTGTGAATATTTGGTGTAACTGAGCTTTCACCTTCTCTTGCTATTGCACTTTGGAAATCGTGCGCTCCATTTTGCTTGTGTTGTCATCTACAGAGCAAGCATGTAGCAACCCAGGGACCTCTGAACCGAGTTATCATGCAAAGTTTCTGCCTTTTCTTCTATTTCAATGTTCTTGATGCAGAGGAAATAAAAATACAGTGGACTTTACGTCACACTGTTAAATACAGAGATTACTTAGCTAACCATGGTATACTTTCAAAATTTTTCTGAAGTTCTTCAGTGCTGAAAATTAGACCATTTTCACAAGTGCTGCAACCAACCCCAGCTCTGTTTATCTGTTTATTGTATGCTGTGTACAGAACACAGCTCTTGAAACAGCCTGTAATTAAGAACATGCTTTGCAAACAAAATCGAAATGGAGGCAAGACTGATTGCATTCGTCTTGCATTCCGCATCCCAAATCAGGCTGAAGGCTACAAACCCAAAAGGAGATCTGACTCACTGTTCAATGCCAATGTTACTTTGAGGCTTGAAGACTTTTTTTTTCTCATTTTGCTTTCTCAAAATGTGATATTTTTGTAGATAATATTGACTGCATTGCTTTTTTTGGCAGTGTTAAACCTCAACCAATCAATTTCAGGAAATAACTCAGTCTGAAAGGATGCCTTGAGCTTTCTTAGAGAGGAGGATGCAAGACTGACACGAAATCATAGCCTCGCTGTGATCTTTTTTGATGAACAGTACACTGCTGTTTACAAAAGCGAGGAAAATCTGCAACTGCATGGTTGCCTACGGTCTGTTTTCTTCCTTGATGAAAAATCTTTGCTTAACTTTCACAGGATTATGTGTATTGAAACAAACAAACAAAGTCTTTCTGCTCTTTTCCCACTGCAACAGCCGGCTCTACCAGAGAAGAGAGTGTAGTGTGCCCATCTCCATGAGCATCAGTCAATCTGCCAGTGCCAGATTCCTCTGCAGCCAGGAGCTGTCAGACTGGGCAGGACTCCTGACTTCCTCTATCCCTTCATTTGTCTGCCTTTGAGAAATATAAAGCACCCGCTGACCTTGCGGGAAGGGGGTAAATTGCTCAGCTGGCAACAACGAGACACATTGACTCCTTGGAATCTCTGAGAACTTGGCTCCAAACTTCCTCATCTCATAGTGAGATGCTCTCAAAAAAACAACTGATGTTCACTGTAACCTGTGCCAAATCTCGTGCAACTTGGCATTAATTGAAAAGGGAGAGGGGAAGAACCGTCCAGCCTTTTTGGAGGGTAGGGCTGAACTAGTACAAGGTCTTCTTAGAAATGCTACCTCTACAAGATGGACACCTGTGTCCGCCTGGAGGCATTGCTAAGCACCGTTTTGGGGTGCTACAGATCAGGCCCACCTCTCACACCACCTTCCTAGTCCCTCCACCGTGGGCACCGGTCCTTCACCTAACTCTGAGAATGACGACTATGGACATTTGCAGTGAAGCCCTGTCCCTTGCCTGCCTCCTCTGTGGTTCTCAGGGTGGCCAGGGCCACTCACAGTCCTTTATTAACTTTTCAAGGAGAATCTGGCACCACTCCAGTACAAAAGTTAATGCTTAAGCTGTGGAAAAGGAGCAGAGTTGACACGTTGTATTAAAATCTGCCAGCAGGGTGGAAAACTAAGGGAACCTTTCTAAATTAAAAAAGGAAGGTTAACAGCAGGATGCAGCTGGGATCAAGGCTGGAGGATATGGTTTTTATTAGCTTGATAAGAGAGTGGGGTGGCAGGTTTAAAAACCAGAAATTCTTGTTGGTGTATGTGTTCTTTAACTGGAAAGTAAAAAATTTATAGAATAAGCACTGGCCAGGTTGCCATCTTAAAAGTGGAGGGTGTCTGGCACATTAATGCCAGCTGCCCTTTGCTGCAGAAGAGGGCAGGAGACAAGAGCAGGGTGTCACGGGAGAGGAAATGTCCAGAAGGTGGGAAAGTGATGGTGTTCGCAGTGCAGCTGTAGCTCATCCCACAGGTGTATCTTTGCATGGTGTCCCTGCCTCATGCAATCAGCAAGGGGGAGTGAACATGTTGTCAGTGACTCTGAGCATCATGGAGCCTGAGGAGAAAGTCACGTTTCAAATGAAGTTGTGCAGCATCTATTCGAAACACTGCTCAGGGTTACTCCCCACAAATCCACGCAAGTTATACTGTCTGAAAATGATGTCTAAATATTTACTGCAGTCTTACTACTACTTGTAAATGGAATATGGAATGCCATACATTATGATGGGAGATAAATACCAGTTTTCTGTGGCAGAAATAAATTGCCCAGTGCTCTGCACTATCCTTCCAAAGGGTTGAAATTAATTTCCCTTGCTTTGATGCGTGGTGTAAATGATACTGGAGTTGATGTAAGCTTATTGTTCCCTTAGGATATGTTGCAGTTTGTGTCTATAATCTGTTTTTATAAATAGATTTAGCAGGATTAGTCTGCTACTAAAAAAACTTATCCTCAAAAGAGTTTGTCAGTGGCATTGTTTTCTTAGAAGCCATTTACCTCCTGGCAGGCAGGAGGAGAGGGGAGGTAATTAACCGTTGACATGCTAAGGATTATTCAGTGAAACCAATATTGTTTCTAAATTAAAAATAAAGCAAACTGCTTCCAAAATGTACCAGCATCCCTCCTCCTCCTTCCTTCCTTCCTTTTCAGCTGAGGCTGCTCCCCTTCTGCCTGTCACGGCTTTGACTCCCCTCATGAAACTCTCCATTTGACCTCTCAGTCCAGCTGTCTCCTCTCAGCCCCACTTCTCTTTGCCCTTGGTTTATTCCCCTCTTTTTTTTTCCCCTATATTTCGACCTTTTCATTTTCCTTTGGTTCCTCCCTACTTTTAAGCAAGGGTAACAATCGAATTTAAATGTCTTTCTGCAACATTTTCTTCCACTCTTTAATTTCAAATTTTTGCTACAAATGCTGAAATGCTTGATTTGCTTTTAGTCTCAAAGCAGGATGTGAAGAAAATCAGACTATGGGCTGGCTATATTTGCACTGTATGTTCTTTCTATTAATGCCACAAATCAGAACTTTTCAATCACTTCTGGGTAAAAAGTAATACTTTCTTGTGCCCTAGAAACCACATATAGAAAGGTCAAACTAAGTTTCTCCTTCGCTTTCCCAGATAATCTCTGCCTGTCTTCTCTGGATGAGAAAAGGGTGAGTGAGTAGAAGTAAAAAGCCCTGCACGAACAGTTTCAAATGGCAAGTTGCCCATGGAGGAGTTGTCCTTAAGAGGGACACAAAATCCAAGCGACAATAATACACCTGAAAAGAACAGATGGAGCAAATAAGGGGAGACTGTGACTTTATAGTATTAATCAAAATTCATATTTCTTTATCAAATCAGGAAATATGATTTGGGACATCCCTGGGTGATGGATAATGGCTTACAATGACTATGACAAGGCATCATATTTATATTGTTGGATTGCTACTTTTATTAGCATTCGTCCTGGCTAATCTGGTGTCAACTCTATAAAGTGATTGTCTGCTTTTTTTTTTTAGGGTAGAAGAAAGTTTTAAAACCTTATTCTGGTCAATATTTGGCTTATCTGAAGTGATATCTGTGGTGCTGAAGTATGATCATAAATTCATTGAGAATATTGGATACGTACTCTATGGAGTATATAACGTGACTATGGTGGTGGTGCTGCTTAATATGCTAATAGCCATGATCAACAACTCCTATCAGGAAATTGAGGTAAGATCAGAAATTAGATTACAAACTCAATACACTTAATTATCACTGATAATGAAAATGTTAAAAAACCAAGGAAACAGTAGCTTATTCTATATGTAAGATTAGAGTGGTGTTGAAACACAGATCTTACCCTGTGGAAGAGTAAAGGCTGTGTCTGTCCTCAAATTACAGTTGAATTAATAATTAAAATGAATAATTTCTAGAATAACTTCAGCTTCCTTGTTTTTAATGACCATGTGTGAGTAAATCCAATTTCCTTTACATGTGTTTAATGAAAGCCATTTGTGGTACTTTTACTCCCTGTGCAGATTATGATAATTTATCCATGTGTGTTACCTTAGCTCCATTGTTTGCTTATAACAGATCGAGTAATATTTCATCTGGATTTTTGCCCTGTTCTCTACTACTTAAACACCTAAGCCCATCTAGGTCTGAAACTCATATATGCATATTTAAAAATTTCATATTTTCCAAATACCAGATACACAACCTTGATGTAGATTTTTTGAGGAACATTTAGGTCTGCAAAACAGAACTACATGAACAGTCACAATAAGCAACTTCTAAAGGATATGAACACAGCCCTCAAGGATTATAAATAACTTTCTGCAGAAAGGCCTTTGCAAGGTTTACCCAACCTTGTTCAGTAGTGCTGCTATTCACAGACTGGATTTGCCAAATGCTTTGGACATAAACAACTCCCTGGTAATGTAAATAAAGGCAGGAAAAAATTATTTGGATAATGTCACCTCTTTCTCCTGATTTGCTAAATGTCAAGTTTCTGTAGTTAGGCTTGTATTAATTATTTGTTCTAATCTGACCTCAGAAACTGACACTATAAAAGGCCAGAGCTGAAAATATTTTCTCACTGTAATGTCTGATTCATCCACTTACTGTAGTGCAAATATAACTCTATTTTGTGCATGCTGTAACTAAGTAAAAATGTCAGAGAGACCTCACATATCTCCTTTGCCCCAGAAGCTTTCCTGCATGCAGAACGCACTCATTTCCCCAAAGGTTTCTGATCACTTAAGATCAGGCATCTTCCCAAATTCTCTTCTACTGAACCAAGATTTACTTCTGAAAGGACTTCAGCCTCTTACTGCATTTTCTAGTTTATTGTAGTAGGTAGAGGTGCTCTTGAAAGTTTCCAAAGAAAATATCTAAAAATACCTAAATAGGTGGCCTATATTAACTTTCTAATCTAAACTTTGTGATGAACATTTTCCTGGAAAAATGCTTTATCATCCTTGTTGATTGCATGGAAATATTCAAAACTTTGTTGATGATTATTTGTAACTAACAGCAAGCAAAACAAGTGTGAGTTATTTGGATCAGACCTTCCTAATTGAGGACTGGGAAAAACTCATAAATCTCATACTAGTTCCTTTTAATCTGCAATAGCAAGGAGATTAAAGACAGAGTCATTTTACTGACTGCAGAGAAAGTCCCTTTTGCTAATGTGTTTATCTGATGACAGCAATGTCAGTAACAACAGAGGATGGTCATTACTTTGCGATTAAATTCCATTACGGTCAGTGGGGACATGCTTTACTGTTAGCTGGAGTGACAAGACCATATTCTCATGCTTTCCATTGAACACCTCTTTTCAGCTACTTCTGTTTTTCTTCTGTTTATGCCTCTAGTATTAGTGCTTCCTACCAACTTTACATTTATAGAAAGAAAAAATCCTTTTTCCAGACAGAAACCAGAACTACTTCCATCAGTATCTCTGTAACTGCTTAACAGAAAAGCAATAAAACTGTTCACAAGTTATTTCTACTGTAATTCAGCTTAATGCTTCTGTGAGGTGCAACACCAAACAATGAGAAGACCAAATGGCAGAAGTGAATGCTGCTCCACTGGCAAAGACGTTTTGCTGTAACTGTGACAGAATTAATCTCAGTTGTGTTATGCCAGCTTTTGACTGGTTTTCAGAGGTACGGAGTCACCAGAGATTATTAATTTCAGCAAAGCACAGATGTACATGAGTATGAGGTGTTGGCAGACTCATGCTTCTATTGATGCTGCTGGCCTCCATAAAAGCCACAATGAAAACAGCTGTAGAGCAGCTGTATCTCATCCTTTCTTTTGTCTGATAGATGGTCCTGATACATGGTCCTGACCATCCTCCTATATAAATGCCAAGCAGATCCATAAACTATGTGCTAACCTTGCCCTTGTACTTGGAAGTGATCCTGGCCTGCCTTGCCAGTTCATTAAGGAGTTTCACAGACTGAGGGACTTTTTCTCCACCTCCATCCACTGCATTGAATAGTAAGGAAATTAAGGTGTATTGATCTAGGGATTTATGATGACAAATGCAAACAGGATTCATGAGGAAATCAACTAATGATAGAGGAAATCAGTGACCGAGCCTTTTCTATGGGGAATTCATGGCTGATGCAGTGATAACAGCTGGCAGTTAGATAGCATTGCAGTTAATTAGAGGCAATCTTTTGTTGTTGTTGTGCACATAGAAATTTCTTCTGCTTTCCATGACTAAATATTCTGACACCTTCATTTATCAGCATAGAGCACCAGATTGTTACTGAAAGACAGCCCTTGATATCCAAGGAAATAGCCTATTACCTGGAGAACTTATACTCTCTGTTTATACATTGTTTTATTCAAAATTTCCTTATTTTGAGATCACCACAGAGAAGCTTGCCAAGACAGGTTGTGTGCAGAGGTCTTGGTTTGGCAAACAGAAATGTGATTCTCATAAATTCTACCAGTATGTTTGTTCTTGTCATAGCTAATTTTTTTCCTATTTACTAATTATGCATTTGGGTGCTGTGGTTTTTTTCTCTCTTCCCTTCCCAAGGAGGATGCAGATGTGGAGTGGAAGTTTGCACGTGCTAAGCTCTGGCTATCCTACTTCGACGAAGGAAGGACTTTACCTGCTCCTTTTAATCTAGTGCCAAGCCCTAAATCATTTTATTATCTCATACTGAGAATAAAAATGTGCCTCATAAAACTCTGCAAATCTAAGGCCAAAAACTGTGAAAATGATCTTGAGATGGGGATGCTGAATTCCAAACAACGGGTATGTTGCATCTTCACTTTTCACCTTGTAGAAAGGATTCAGTCAGGGACCTTCTGGAGTGGTTACATTGTACACAGGTAGATCAGGGACAGCACAGGCTCATCATTATGTATTAGTTGTATGACATTGCACCTAGAGGATCCTCCCAGACTCGTGGCCTCATTATATTAAGCACTATCTGGACACCAGGGAAAAAGCAACTTCTATAAAAGCAGGCACTTCTATAAGGGAGTTTCCTAAGGCCAAATAAGCAAGGTTAAAGACCGAGGGCAGAAGCATAGGCACAGATAGGATCTCAGCTTGTTTGGCTCCTCATCTACCTTTCAGACCTTCATAGCACTTCAAAACATCCATTTTCCTTTAACTGATTTCCAAATTAACTTAACCATCATTACGACCTTTACTGCCATTCCACATTTCAGAAAAAGTTTCCAAGCAGGGCTTAATAACACCTCCTAAATAACCTAAAGCTATAATTAACAACCTCTCTACTTATATCTGCCTAGTGATGTGTAGCCACTAATGGGTAGATCCTGCCTCAGCCATTGCCCCTTTGGTCATCTGAAAGAGAAATTTGCTTTGGAAATACTGGCTACACAGCAGCACGCTTTCCTCAGCACTAGTGAGTGTCTGCATTGTCAAACCAAGAGAGATGCAAGAATATGTTTAGCAACCAGACCCTTACCCACAGGTTAACTTTGCTCCCCCATGGGAAAATGCCAGAGAAATTAGAGAAAATTATGTTGCCCATGGAAATTGCTATCTGCAACACAGTGCAGAGTGTCACTGGGATGAAGCATTCCTAGCACATAAATATATAACAAACACAATCCCACTCACAAGACAAGTCCACTTGCATTGGAGAAGAAAATGCCCCAAACTTTCACAGGAACTTACCCACAGCAGCTTGGCTTCTGGCATCACATTCAGCTGATCCAAAGATGCGAGGAGGCAGCTTTGCTTAAAAATGTCCTGGCCTTTTTTTAATTTTCTCATTTCATGCTTTGTTTGAAACAAGAGACCAACACAAGGAACCCATTTCTGGTGAAAAAGAAAAGCCCTCTGAAATGTGTTGTCTCTCATTTCTTACAGTCAGTGCATGTGAGAGGCCAGTGTGACTCCTTGGCACGCTGGACAGCCTCTCCAGGGCATGCTGCTATTTCCTCAGCCTGCTCTCAGACTCATCCATCCAGGCTTTAAAACCCCAGTTGTGTGGCACTGCACAGGAGAGGGAAGAAGTGTGTGACATCTCCAGCTGAGATGAAGGCAGCCAAGCCCCAGTTTTAACCTTACAGAAGGAAAGAGGTCTAACAAGAGACTGACAGAAAGGAAAGGAAGGTTGGAGGAGACTTTGCAGCATGTGATTTTGTAACATTCAGACTGCTTTTGGGCTTTATCTGGATCTCTTGGGTCTTCTTGAAGAAACCAGCAGCTGAGCAATACAGCAACTCATGGTGAGCTATCCAGCTCCAGGCAAAGCCCACAGCCTTGGATGAGATCACACTCCCATGAATCTGAGAGAACTGTTCAGGTCTGTTGTTCATTCAGTCTCTGCCAGAGCCTAAACTGAACTATATCCCTGGGGTCTCCTCCAATGTTATCAAATAATTTAACTACTCAACATGGTGAGCAGTGCCAAGAGAGCCAAGCATTTGGGGATATTTTACTCTATATATAAATTCATTATACCTACTGCTGCTTACTTAAAGACTCACTAGAACAGCCAAGTCTTGAAATAAAAGAAATTTTATCCTTTAACTATCTCAAATAATGATTAAAAAAGATAATATTTTTAAAATGTTATTTGAATCTAACCACACCAAGCTTGCTTTGTTTGAAATTTAATTTCTGCTGCAGACCATAAACCAAAGAAATAAAGTTTTCTCTGAGCCCTTCCTTCTCCAAACCACATGAGTGAAAGTGCCTGGCTCACTCTTTTTCATGGAACTCATGCAAAATTCATAGTTTTCATGGCTTTGCCAAAAACAATTAAGAGTATCAGTCATTTCCTGTTTGCCTGTTAATTCTGTTCAGAGATCATGTTAAAAACAGTCTCTGTACGACCATGGCACACCCAAGTAAGACATTTAAAAAAGATTAAATTATTACTTCAGACATTTAGTCTGTTTTCTGGTACAGTCAATAAAGAAAAAACCCTTAACTAGGGCTTTCCCTGTACATACACTTGCATATAGGTACAGAGGCCTATGATATGTATTGGCTCCTTTGGGTATATGATATGAATTAATTTCTTTGAATAAGTGATTTTTTGTTTTCATTAGCACTTGAGCAAAAACGTTCAGAGGTCAATAACAGAGTCAAAGATACCTCTTAAAAACATTCAGAAAAGTGTCCTTGGAAGCTTCTAGAGTACAAAATTAGTAGCCGTGTTCTCCTCTGGTGAAAAATACTGGTCTATTAAAAAAAAGCGTATTTTTGATGAGTTAAAATTAGCAAATATTACTGTTGTTTTAAAAGGATGAGTCAAAATAAATTCTGTTTCAGAATTTGTTTTTTTACATCGACTTACTCTTTTTAAACATAAATATTCATTTTTCTTCCTTTCTTAAACGGTTCAAATTTATAATCACCAATCTTTTTAAATTAAAGTATTTTATGCCTCTCAATACCTTCTTGTTTAAAACTTGTGTGAGAAAACCATTTCTGTCTACACAATTTAGAATCCAACCTTTTTCAGTAATTTGTGTTTTGACCATTTTCTCTCTTTCAAAAGTTTACTTTTTTAGACCTGAATGTGCTGGCTTTTATTCTACTCATACATTGAAGCATTTCCTACTGTTTTTATAAAGCTCTGTTTAGTTTGGGGCTGTCTGGGTATGAGACATTATCGCTGATTTAATTATATCATGATTTATAATTTCAGAAAGTTCGTTTTCACTCTAGCACTCGAAATACAGAAAATTTTTCTGGGAAGAATGCTTATAACAAGCCCACGAGATATCAGGTAATCATGGCATGAAAGCAAGAGCCAGGGAAGAGATCTGTCAGTGAAAGGCTCTTACCTGCAAAGGTCATGTTTGCTTTCTTCCAGTTGATGGCATCCTGTGATGTGCCAGGCTGTGGCTTAGCACAGTCACGGGACAGGGCTGGGGCAATTTACATTTACAGTGCCCTGAGACAAACACAGTCTATCACCTGTGGAAACACACACGGTGTTAGCGTTTTGTCATGCTAATCAATTCCACTCAAAGGTGTTTAATTTGTTATATATTTTTACTTTTATTTGATTTTTATATTTGCTATATATTTGCTTTATAGTTTGCTATATATTTGTTATATCTGGATATACATATATATCTATATAAATATGTATATA